AATGGGAAGTATATAAACCCCAATTTCTCAAGGCATAAATCAGACTAATAATTAGAGATTAGAATGGCATCAAAGGAGAGTGCATTACTTTTCTTTATATATTCATCTCAAGTGCCTGGTACTGCCTACTGCTGTTGGATATTGACACCAGGGCAAATGAACTGCATGGTTAATCCAGTGCAATGATTTACAGAAGCAATTATTATCTCTCTATAACTACAAAACAATAGGAGCAACAATCCCTGACATAATCTTATCACAGTCTGCTACTCCATTATCTCCATACAGGTAAGTCACAGACCTGGTTTTCCATCTACAACAAGATGCAAATCATCAAGGCTGACACTTGAATAGCTTAGTGCTTGTCACAACTCAGCGAAATGAGTCACTGAATATTGAGTTGTGTGGATTACATGGGTTACTACTAGGAGACAGCAGGATCGGAGAAAACATTCCTCATGGCTCAGCTCCCTCAGTTCAAGTACAACCTACAGACCTACCTAAGGAGCATGTTTGTTTTCACAGAGTAGGACCCACCACTTTAGAGACACCCATCTTTCAGGGCAGCCTAAAAGCCACTGTGTGAAAATCAGCTCTATGTTTTTCCTTACAGATTAAATGTTACCTTATGTGATAAACCCACAGCAACCTACCAGAATGCAGATTAATGTAAAGCAGAGTTTTAAGGTTTTGTGTTTCCTTCCTGCTGCATCTCCTACCTTGGCTTTTGTTTGTTTGGAGTGTCTTTTCAAACCCGTTTCCCCACACTGCTAACAGTAATGAATAAAGAAGAAATCCCAAACATGATCAAGAGAGATTTGAAATACTCCATGGCAATATGCAGGTACACTAAAATAGCTCACAGCACTCAGACTATCACCAGGAGGCATGTTTTAATATGACAGATACACAGCAGTTTATCCTCTCCAAAAGCAGGGAGGAGAAGAAACACCAAGTTCTGTGAGCACTTTGCAACATCCTTTTGTCATTAACTTGTGAATTACATCAGTCAGGGAATATGCAGATCCCTCTCATGAAGTCCCAGGCAGCTGATATGTCCCTCTTTCTAAAGTTCTTTAATTAAAAGGGGGAAAAAAAGCCAACACTGGCCACTGAAGATGCCATTACATTTCTCTGCAGCTTCTGGATAAGTTTTTGATGTTGTCCTTGACAGGAGGTAATGGAATAATGCACATTGTTATTTCAAGGAAAGAGGCCATTTCTGTGATTTTTTTTCCCCACAGTTAATTCTGAAACCAGAATCTTTGAATTAAGGTCAGCAAATCAAGCGACATAAAATGAAATCATAAGCCTTGCAGCTCTAATTCCTGAAGTGCAATACAGCACATCCTGCCCTCAAAGGATTAACACCAACATGCACAAAGCATGAGCAGCAGAAAGATACTTTAGCTATCGGTTTGAGTGTTACCATGCTGAAATACAGCATACAAAAAAAAAACAAAACCAAAACAACACAAGACAGATGTGGAGCTGATGGAGCGAATCCAAAGGAGGCCATGGAGATGCTCTGAGGGTTGGAGCAGCTCTGCTCTGGGGACAGGCTGAGAGCTTGGGCAGCCTGGAGAAGAGAAGGTTCCACAGAGACTTAGAGCAGCTTCCACTGCCTGAAGGGGCCAACAAGAAATCTGGAGAGAGTGGCTTTTGACAAGGGCCTGTAGGGACAGGACAAGGGGAGATTTAGATGAGACATTAGGAAGAAGTTCTTCCCCGTGAGGGTGCTGAGGCCCTGGCACAGGTTGTCCAGAGAAGCTGTGGCTGTCCCATCTCTGGCAGCGTTCAAGGCCAGACTGAACAGGGCTTGGAGCAACCTGCTCTAGTGGAAGGTGTCCCTTCCTGTGTCAGGGGGTTGGAACTGGATGACCTTAAAAGTCCCTTCCAACCCAAACCAGTATGGGATTCTGTGCATTTATCACTATATGTTCATCACAGTGATGACATAATCTCTGGTAGAACAGAAAGAAAAGCCGCGACACACAGCCTAGAGAACAAGATTATCTGCCCCATGTGAAACTGTGTCATAAAGGCATCCTCAGCTGCTTGAAGTCTGGAATTCAATAAATTTTGCAGCCCTGGACAGTGGAGCAGCTCCTCAGGAGCTTGTTCCCAGCACAACCTGGCCCATAGCTGATGAGCACCTGGGGTACCTTACTGTGGCCGTTTAAAATGCTGCTGTCTGCTGAGAATCTCAGTCTGTGCCAGAGACTAAAAAAAGAGATTTGAACAGAGGCAACAGGTTTTGAGCCAGACATGTTTCAGTATCAGTCTGCTGCTCTGTACTGGGGATAGCAGCTCTGACACATGTCAATCCTCAGGGGACAGGAGAAACTTATACTGCTGTTGCTGGATGTGTGGCACCCACAAAAGCCTTAGGAAGCCCTGGGCAGAATTTGAGTCTTCTATGGCTCCCCTGACACACTGCCCTCCAGATTCATTAGAAAGTGCTGTGACTCAATTAGCAATGTAACCCATAAAATATGAGAGATCTTTCTGCCTACAGCATGGTTGTGAGGGTAATAGATCTGCTCCTTCTGATTCTAAACAATGTGAACAAGAATTACGATTTTGATTTACTTTTCCTGTTTGCCCCTTTATTGCAGCATAGCATAAGACTAAAGGAAAAGAAAGCAGCAGCCTTAGATAAGTATCAGAGAGTATGTCAGATCATGTACTTTGATCAAGACAGAATGACAGCCAAGATGAAAAGGGGAATTCCCTGACCTGTACCACACAGATCCTTTGTTTTCAAGTTTTCTATGATTCTAATACTCAGTCCACAATAATAGAGGTATCATACAGTTAAAACTGTTACATACTCAAAAACCACTCTTAGTAGCATCTAGTATCTGCACCTTTTCATGATATTAGATTCATCCTTCCAGTGTCCATCTGTTTGATGCCTCCAGTTTTCTTCAAGCAGAGTGAGAGTACATCAACATCCTGAGGTCTTTCTTATCAGGAGTTCAATGTTCACAGAGCCAGCCCCTTCTTCCTCCTCAGTCCTCAAATCTACTAAGAGTCATTTTCATGTTTTCTTGACAAAGATCCTGTCTATATGATCTTTCTTTCCTTTGGCTCCCGATTATTTGTTGGGGCATTTTTTGGTCATTTGCTGTTAACTCTGCACTGGCTTCATCCAATGGCAACTCTTCACCAAAGGCAACTCTCCCGTAATGACTGCTGACTGGAACCCCCAATATCACCTTGCCTTTTCACTCTGCCACAAAATCTTTTATTTTTACAAATGGTTGCTTGCCCTTACTATAAAATAAAGCTAAAGTGAAGCCAAATGATGCTGGAATCACCTGACTGCTGGACTGCTAAAGGCAGTCTGGCTGTAGCAATCCTAGAGAGTCCCTCACATCATCACGTTAATACAAAGCCTGCAGCCTTGGACTAGGAATGTCACAAATCCTATTCACTGGGCAGTGACTGTTCTGATCAAGTCTGATCCATTGGATGTAAAGCTTCAAAAGCTGGGAAACAGAAGTTTCTTTTACAAGAAGTGCCAGAAAGATGTTACAGTCCATGATTTAATGAAATTTGGAGTAGGTGGCATCCCTGTGCTGTGTCTTTATATCCCCATCTTATTTAATTAGGCTGTAAAAGCTTGTTGAAAACTCAGATCTAGCGAGTCATACTTTCCAAGGTAAATTGGGGTTGAAAGATTCCCATTTGCCAGTAGGAAGGCTGGAAGTTCAACAACAGTAACAGCAATAACCGTGACCCAAGTTCTCCCAGATAATTCTGAGCCTCACTCCAATTTTAAGCCTCCCACTTCTCCACAAGCTTTTGCAGATAACGATAAGGTCCTGTTACAGCACAGTATTTTTTTTACATTGCTAATCCATAAAATACTATAAAGGAGACATAAAAGATAGAACTTTATAAAGTGTTCAACACAAAGAGCTAAGTATGCGGTTAATGTAACAATGTCCTTTTAAGTTCCCCTGATAATATATGACTGAAATATAACAAGAAAAAAAATAGTCTTTTTTTTTATTAAGGAAATGTCCTTTGCCCTTCACTGCAGGATTAGTCTAACTTGTCTGGCTCCACAGGATCTTACGGCTGTCTGGGATACAGAGACCTTTTAAGTTGCTAGGCAGTGTAAGATCTAAACCTTTTGCCTAGCAAATGGCCTAAATAATTCTATTCTGTCAGTTATGAAAGCCTAACAGTCTCTCCTGATCTCATCTGCTCACAACTTTAAAGTGTTTGAAGCCTTAATAAATAAGCCTTCTGATTCCCACACACACTATGTTAACAAAAGTGCCTCAATGATCATGTCTGCAGTGAGCTTCCACAGCCCAAGATGAGAAGGGATGTGTGTTCGCTCCACCTTCCTGCAGAGTGAAAATACCAGAGCAACATACTCACTACTCATCAGCACCCTGACTGAGAGACCATAAAACAAGGACAACCTACATTACTTCCAACCAAAACAACTAGGGACCTCTCTCAGCTTAGTGTCACCTCCCTGAAAGATCCAATGTCTCAACAAGATTTCTTTCTTAGTTAAGATCTGTGTTGGGTACCTCCTTTCAAAAGTAGTTGGGGGGGGGGGTGTTATTAATGATCTTACTGGATGACAGGCATTAGGATCTTATAGCACATTCAAAGGTAAAGATATGATCAAGGTTTAAGTGTGTGTCAATAGAAGGCATCCAGCTATTTTTTGAAACAACTGTTGTTCATCCTGATGAGGACTTCTGGCAGTAAAATTTCTCTGAGGTTCTGAGAACAGCAGAACTAACCCAAATTTTGTTGCTCCAGGATAATCTAGCTCCCATTCAGTTCCAAAAAATGGAGGATCAAGCCTGCATTATCTCCTACCTCCTCAGGGAGGTTAATACACCCCAAGATTCTTTTGACAGCCTCAGTCTTCACTGCCAGAATTAAATAACTTCCTGTAGCAAGGGCATTGATAGCAAGCACTATCCAATGCAGTATATACTAACAGAGCCATTCCTGAGACTTACCTCCTTCAGATGCATCCTCTGTTCAAAATGAAGACAGAAGACACTTCACACAATGACAGTTTATTGGTCTTTCACATCCTACAGGGTCAGCAAGACTTTCTCCAGAACCTAGGGCAAAATCATACAGCTCAATTAAGGAAAACACCCAAATGAATCCCAGAAGATACTGACTATATCCATGTCTGCTTGTCTATTGATAAATCATAGGGATATTACAGAGGCAGAGCATACAGATGTTTTATTTAAGCCATTATTAGAACTGAAAATGATTCTTTTGTTTCCAAGGATTAGTGATTAGGCTATAGACCCAGTTGCCGTAATGTCAGCTTCAACAGCCTAAAAATTTTACCTGTTTTGTAATGGTGGTTTTCAGAGGCCAAAGAGCTAAATTTACGGGTAAATCAACAGAGCCCTGCTAAATTACAACTGCAAGGAACACAGCACCAAAGCTTAATGAATTGGCTTTGACTCGGGTCACAGAGCTGACAGCTTCTGTTTCTCAAATCACCTTTCAGCAGATCAGCAAAGAGGCAATGACAGAGCCCAGCAGTATCCCAACTCTCCTGTGCCAGAAGGAAAGGGGCACCAAGAAGGAAATGAGGATGTGAAAACCCATCAGAGCCAACCCATCAGGGTCACAAGAAATAAAGCTCAGCCCATCATCATGGATATCTTGTTACTTGGTAAATCAGAAGTAGGTGCTTTCTCCTGATCAGCATCTCTGCTTCACTTGCATGATCATCACCCATTTATTTCCTCCCTATCTCAGAAGTAGACAAACTCCTGCTGCTTCTTACAAAGCACTTTAAAGTCTTACAGGATAAGGCATAAAATCTTATTTGTTATTACTGTATAACTGTCAGGGAGCTGCGCTACAAGGTGGTGGTGGGCCAAGAGCTAGCAGTGGCCACAATGCAGGCTGGGCAGTAAACCCATGGGCAGGCACCACAGCACCAGAGCTGGGCAAGCAGAATGGGGTGGTGATAGCAGCATGTCCTATCAACGGTCCTGTGATCACCAGGCAGATGTAAAGGACCAATTCATGTCCAAGGTTAGTTCAGGAAACCCAAACAACAATCCAGGAACAGACCTAGGAACAGCTATATCCACAACATGGTGCAAGGACTGGGTGTCTAAGCCTGAGCTTCAATGAAACCCCTAGGCCCTTAGGCAGAATATGTGGCTTGGGGTCCCAGACGAGGTTAGGCAGAGCATTAAAAGCCTGCTGGTGACAAGGTGTAAGGGCCAACAGCAATTCCAAGAATACCTTCCCACCAAAGCAAAGCCTTTCCCACAAGAACTCGAGGCTTCTTTCACATGACCAAGCTGCAATAAATTGTTGATGGGTGAAGAAGGTTCAAAATTTGATCCTTGCAGATGTTATCAGCTAAGAAGGGACTAAACTCAAGTTAATTATTTGGCGCAAATTACAGGCAAAGCAAGTCTGCACTGAGACACTGTGCTTGAATCCAGTTGGCCACTGCAGTGTGGCTGAGATTGACTGCCCGGATCTGGCTCCAGGTTCTTTAGGACGGAGCTGCACGCTCCAGAGTCAGAAGCAGTGGATCAGTGCCAGTGTGGAGCAACACTGTCCCTGAGAGAGCAGAAAGAGCCACACTGGGTAAATTTCACATAAATATTGCAGAGTATCCCAAGACTGGACAGTTTTCCCCACTGCCTGCACCAATCCACATCAACAATCAGCACAACGGACACATCTTTATCTGTCCCAAGTTTTCTTTGGGACAAATTATGCCCCAGAGTGCATGGGAAGGTTGCTTCACAACAGACCTTTTGCCCCTAAGCTCTAAAAGGGGAGATGAATTCCAGTTCTGATTGAAAACTGACGTTATGCTTTAGCAGCTAGTGATCTCGGAGCAAAATCAAAAAGTGATTAGAAATCAAAAGCTGGGCACTGGCTTGAAGTTAATGAAGTTAATTTATCATAGATCCTGCTTCAAGTAAAAATAACAGACTGTCTCATGAAAATCTGGGATAATGGTTGCTCTGGCACCAGTCAGCGCTTCCAGAGAGAACAGCAAAATTAGTGGTCAAGGAAATGAAAAGTGAAACAGTGATTTATATGCAGCCCTAGGTAATAGCAGTGAAATTAGTGAAATTAGCTCCAGATATTATTTCTGCTCCTTAGGTAAATCATTTGAAACATGTCAGGCAAAAGCTAATTCTTGTATCAACTGCAACTGGCCTGAGAATGCGTTTCCAGGGGTGTAAACCTAGGGAAAAAGGGAACTGCAAAGACAGATTAATGCATCATAATGCACAAAGCAAGGGAAAAGGTCTAAACAACATGAAAGTTTCCATCATTAAGGATTTGTAAGGGAATGAATTAGATGGCTTGCTATGCTAAAGCTCCAGAGCCTACTGATGGAGCGTTCTATCAAAGCCCATGCCCACTTGCTGCTCCATTCCCCTCAAAACACATCCTAGCGTAATGCACTACAGAAAAAAGTCAAATGCGTGCTAGAGATGGAAATTCAACATGGAAGCAAGACAATATTTAAGGCACAATTGTTTCTTTGAATGCGAATGTAAGATTTGCAGTATGTGCTAAAATGGGTAAAACAGGCAGATAAGCAGTAGAGTCAGAATCAACAAGGTTGAAAAAGACCTTTCAAATCAAGCCCAACCGCTACCCCAGCACTGCCAAGCCCACCATTAACCCATGTCACTAAGGGCAAACTGATCTCCCCTCATGATCTCCACTTGCAGCCACCCCTCATCTGCCCCCCATAGCTGCCCACACTGTACAGCTGCTGCCCCTATACCTCACGGCCACCCGTCCTCTCCCCTCATGATCCCCCCTCATGACTGCCCCTCACCAGTCATGGCCACTCTTCATGCCCCATGGCTGCCCTTGCTCTCCCTTCATGATCTCTCCTCATGGCTGCCCCTCCTTTCGTCTCACAATCTTTCCTTATGGCCACCCTTCGTCTCCCCTCACAACACCCCCTCACCACTCATGGCTAGTCCTCCTCTCCCCTCACAATCTCCCTTCTTGGCTGCCCCCTTCTTTTTCCTCACCATCTCTCCACATGACCACCCCTTCACCTGTCATGGCCGCACCTTCTTTCCCCTCATGATCTTCCATCATGGCCGCCGCTCCTCTCCCCTCATGGCTGCCCCTCTCTCCCTCCCTCCACCCCTCCGACTGTAAGGATCTGTAATGGAGCAGATGAGGACGCACCAGCTCCTGGGTTCTCCAGGTGTTTGGGACAAATTCAGACCCAAACTCCTCTGATCCAGGCCTGGATTCACAGCCATGCAGGGAAGTTGCCCTCAAATTGCCCCACACTCACCCTTAACATCGGCCATAATGTGTGGTGCCCAGGAAGGAAAGGCTGCGTTAGTGCTGCAGGACACGCACGTGGCTCCTCTGGGAAGAGCGCTGCGAATTCACAACGTTCACTTTGCATTTGCCTTTCCTGTCTTTTTTAGTTGGTTTTTTCCCCCTGTTGTACACCGTTGTGCCCTGGTACTCAGCCAGCTCACCCAGCTAACAGCGAGGTAGGCGACAGACAAAGCTGCCTGAAACCTGGAGGCAGACACCCGGCAGGCAGCCCTTCCTGCTTCAGGCATCTGACTTCTGGCTGCAGCTCCCCTCAAGCCTCTGTGGCTTCCCAAATATTCACTGGCTTGTCTACATCATAAAGCAATGTCTGCAACGTCAAAGTAACCAACGAATTACATTGTTTGCTAGGCTAACAGCGCGATAAGGGCAATGATGTTAAGATCTCACACTGAACCCGCAGAGAGATGTTATCTAACATTCAGTACTTGGACACACTAAAAACTGAAGGAAGAGCACAAAGGATTTTAGCTCAAAGCCAAGCTTCCAAATGTCAATGTCAAACAACTACAGATGTACACTTTTGCCTCACTGATTTATGGAAAAGCCCGCTACAGAAAGAAGAATACTTAAGAGAGAACAGGTGTATCACTGAAATCCATCCTGGTCAAGTTTAAGGGCAACAGAAGCTGATGCAGTTCGATAGGAACATAAAAGCAATAAGCAAACGCCTTCTAAAAATACAACCACTCTCACAGGCAGGATTGAGAGCTCTAAAATAGAAATTAAGAAGCATAAAGAGAAACAGTGAATTTCACATGGCAAGGACTGTCCCAAATAACTGCTGGGGTTTAAGAACTACAGTCACCTCAGGAAAAAAAATAAAACCCAGACCACAAAAGATTGCGTTTATAGAGATTTTATAGAGACGATAAAACCTACGGACCTCTAAGCCAGACAAATGACTACTTGAAAGTGCCCTAAAGAAGCAGCTCTACTCTTTTCGTTTCCAGATGGAAGCAGTTATGAGCAGAATGTGATTAATGTGATTAATCAATGCACAACAGCGGAGAGAAACCAGTGTAGGAAGCATCTGCCAAGTTTCCATTATTTTCCTATGCCAACAATTCTTTTGTCTTTATCCTCATCCAGCCACTCTTCCAAATAATCATCTTCAACAAGTTTGCTTTCCAAGATGCGGAAGCACTAAAACCATAACCATTTACTGCAACAGGAGTAGTGTGTCTTCAGCTGTGCATGTCCAACTGAATGACCTACATCCAATGGCTGCATTAAGGCTGGATTGCCATATTTCATAAGCAACGACAGAATGTCACAACTCGCATCTCAGAAGTGCTGCTCTACTAGAGACAGGAACATCCTCCTAACTCCTTGAATGTGTCTTGAAAATTATAACCTGTATCAACCAGAAAAGCATGATCATGGGTTTTGTCATGCATTGGGATGAAAAAAACTAAGCCAAAAAAATCTGTTATACAAAGATGCTTCTGTCAGTGAAGTCTGTGTTCAGGAGCTAGTCCTTGTGCTACAGAGCTTATTCTGCAGTCATCAGTAGCCTGCTCTGTAGAGGTCTTTGTGAAGAACCTGCGTTTCATCTATCAGCAAATGGCACAGAGTAAAAGACAAATAATGTGTGTCCAAAAGAATTGACATGACAGGTGAGGAGAAAAACACATGCTCCCAATGCCGTGAGAGAGGTGGGCAAGAGCTGCATTGTCATCACACCTCCTGATTTCAATATATATATTGGCATCTCCATACTTACTGTTAACTCGTTTAA